CTCAGATTTTCCAGCATCTGCAGTTCCTACTATGTCTAGAGCAGTAAGGTCCCAGGTTTGCAATGCATTAATTTACCTCAGCTTGGCTGCTAATGGGGATTTGGAATTGAGTGCCAATCCTCTGTGATTGTCCTGAATCTCCAAGAATTAATTAATCTTCTGAACACTGCTGAGAGTAATTCCATGAGAAAAATCACTGGGTCATTTAAAAATTTGTGCATTTTATTTTTTTTAAATTTTAGCTTTGAGAAATATTGGGGATGGAGAAAAATACTGTTTAACTGACAGACAAGAATCATCCAGTCAGGTAGGGAAGAGTTAAAGTTGCTGTATACGGTTAATCACTGACTCTCTTCAAGAATGTATGTGTTAATGATAGAATTGGGCCTTAATTGTGATGCCTGTGTGGTTGCTGACAGAGTTCATAAACTGGTCAAGAATGGTCAATGAGGGATAGATGCCATTGCTGTGTGTGGATTGACTCCATCTGAAAGCTGGTTTTAGTTTCTTCAGAAGAGAAATTATACTTTTCATTACATCTTTAAAACTTCTAACGGTTGTTGCTGTCAAATCTCTCTCAGCAGGACAGACTGCTTTCAGAAAACTCCACATTCAACACAGGAAGTCCCGCCTTTACTTCGCCTCTATTGGCTGACGTGACAGGGCCGTTGGGATGCGAAGGGATCAGATTTGTTGATTGGTGGATGTGCCTCTCATTCAGATACGACACTTTCGTTGGCCGCTGTCACGTCATGTTTGTGAGGCCTGAGTTGTTGATGGCGGGACGGATGAATTTTCTCGGAGTTGCTCTGTTCAATGGCTGCCGCGCATCGCTCACTTTAGCGGCTTGTTTCTTTTTAACCATGCGGGTCTGTGTGATGGCGTCAGGTACGGGAATGAAGCTTCTGGAATGAGGGTGAAGGTTTGATTCTGAGGCGGCACTAGTGCCCTGGGGACAAGCTGGCACCGGGGCTGCTGAGAATGGTACTCAGTGCACACTCACCGTGCCTGGGCCTCGTATATACGTCCAGTTCTCTCCCTTTGCTCCAGATGTTGTCAGGGCTTGGGTGCAACTCAAGGGTGTTGTACTCTCCTGGTACCTTGGCAGCGTGTTTGACAAGTTCTTTCACCGTTTTCGGGGGGGCATCTTTGCATCGACCACTCCCCCCTTCTAAGAAAAGGGGCACCCACTGCATGGTGATCAGGAGCATTATTGTCATCCTGGCTAATGAGCCTGCACTGCATAGGTCAGGAATTAAACCTGGAATCTTGCATGTGGCTGAGAATATGATACATTTTACCTACTGAGCCACAAGTTGTAAATGTAAACCCTATTCCTGGATCTGAGAATGTACTTCAAACTGGTATTCTGGCATAGTGCTAATTGATAGCTGCATTGTTGGATGTATTATTCTTCTGATACAATGTTAAATTAAGGCTATATCTGCCTGCTTGGTGCTTCAGGACTGTTCCATGGTGTTCTTCCAGCAACGTGACCAGCATTCCTCCCTTGACCAACACTGCCAGATGCATAATAACAAGTCACTTTATCCTGTTGCTGTTTATGGAATGTTGCTGTGGCAAAATGCCTGCCTACTTTTTCAATGTAGGTAACTCCCTTTGACAGAAATTTTTCCAAGCAATGCTGCGACAAGCTTTTGGAGTAAGATTCTGTGGGTTGTAAGTATGCTTACCAATCGTTTGGATATTGAGAATTTGTTTTTGGTAACTTCATTGGAATTCAAACTTTCCATTTGTTTCTAGTTGTCATAATGTCAGAAAAATTTGTGTACTTTAAGGTAAACTTTTACCATATTATTAATTTTAGTGACCTTCCAAGCTGTGTTCTATATCCCCGACTAAGCTTTCTCATATTGTGAGGATTTACCTTTGCAAAAGGTTGATTAGATTGACAATTTCCCAAAGTAAAGAGTCCACAGCTGATGGCTTCATGGAATCCTGGCCCTTGCCCTGGTGCTCTTTGTGGGCCTGTCATGCTGCATTGGGGAGGTGTAGGGTGGAAATGAGAATAAATGTTGGAGAAACTCAATAGCTCTGCTAACATTTGTGGAGAGGAACTGAGTTAGTGTTTTGATTCCAATATGTCTCTTGTCCAGATCTGGAAAGAGATGGAATTGTGATGGGCTTTATGCTATTTCTTAAAAGCAAGGTGGGATCAGTTGAAACAAAAGGGACTGTCAGAGAGAGACTAGAGGGTAAGGGAGATGAAATACCAAAGATTTCCAGGAACAAAAGGCAAAAGGAATGGTCATGGTCACAGTGAAGAAACAAAGTCCAGAATTGGTGTTAATAGCAGAGCAAAGGTTACTGTTTAATTTTATTTTATGGAGGATCATTCATGATCTGAAGCTTTTGAACTCCGTGTTTGGTCCAGAAGACTGTAAGGTGCCTATTTGGGGAATGAGATGCTGTTTCTCTCTTCACTGATGCCAAACCTGCTGCAGCTTCCTAGCACTTTCTTTTTATTGCAGCATCTGCAGTATTTTGCTTTTATTATATGGCATATGCTCAGTTTGGGTTCTGTCAGGGCTACTTGGCTCCTGACCTCATTGCAGCCTTTGTCCAAACGTGGGCAAAGAGCTGAACTTCAGTGGAAGTGACATCAAACTTTCATTTTATTGTCTCGGTCTTTGTCTTTTATCTAAACATGTCAGTCTTGTACACCACTTGACATCAAGGCAGCATTTGACTTTTGTATGGCATCAGGGTGCCCGAGTAAAACTGTTGTCATTGGGAATAAGGGGTTAAACTCCACCGTTTGGAGTCATACTTAGTGTTATTGGAAGTCAATTGTCTTACTTCCAGGATGTTGCTGTAGATGTTCTTCTGGGTAGTGTCTTAATCTGCACCATCTTTGGCTACTTCCCTCCATCATAAGGTCAGAAGTAGTGATGTTTACCGGTGATTACAATTTTAGCACCACTAGTAACTCCTCATACTGATGCAGATGTGTCTGTAGGCAGCAAGATCTGAAAATCATCCAGGTTTGGGCTGATTAGTGAATGAATTCAAAGTGCCAGGCAATGATCAGCTTCACCAACACAATCTAACCATCCCATTTTGACGTTTGATGGCTTTACTGTTGATAAATGCTGCAACTGTCAACATTCTGCAGGTTACTATTAACTAGAAACTGAACTGGACCAGATCTATAAATACCGTGGCGACGAGATCAGTTCAGAGGCTGGGAATTCTGCAGTGGGTAGTTTGTCTCCTAACTCAAGCCTGCGAGGCTCATGTCAGGAAGTAATAGAATATTCTCAACTTGCCTAGATGAGTGCTGCTATAACAGCACTCTGAACTCAACAGTGTCCAGAACAAAGTGACCTGCTTAATTGGCACCCCATTTACTACTTTCTATATTCACTCCCCTTCACTGCTGCACAATGTGGCAGCAGTATGTACCATTTAAAGGTGTGTGACAAAAACTCACCAAGGTTCCTTTTGGAAGCACTTTCCAAACCTGCATTCTCTATCCCTAGAAGGACGAGAGCAGTAGACACATGGGAACACCACCACCTGCACGTTCCTTCCAAACAATGCACCATCCCAACTTGGAATTATATCACTGTTCCTTCATTGTCACTGAATCGCATTATTTGATCCAAGTTGCCTAAGTCCTGTGTGAGCACACTTGTGATTTCTTGTCCTCAAACTTTCTGCTGCCTTGATGTTATTGATTAATACAATGGTCCAATTTGGCAGCAGTACCCTTTCTTGATTCTATTCTCATCTGTTCCAACAAAGTGAATGAATATTAAGTTATATAATACAGAAACAGACCCTTCAGTTCAATTTGTCTGGGCTAACCCCACATCCCAATCTGACCTGGTCCCATTTATCAGCATTTGGCCCATATCCCTCTAAACCCTTCCTTTTCCAATACCCACCAGATGCCTTTTAAATGTTGTAATTGTAGCCATCTTTGGCAGCTCATTCTATACACACACCACCCTCTGTGGAAAAAGTGCTCCCTCAGGTCCTTTTTAAATCCTTCCCCTTTTGCCTTAAACCTATGCTCTGCAGTTTTGGACTCTTTTCCCCACCCCCCCGCGTGAGGAAAAAGACCTTAGCTATTCCCTCTATCTGTGATCCTCATGATTTTATATATCTCTATAACCCCTTAGCCCCCACTCCAGGGAAAAAGCCTGGCCTCTCCCTATAACTCAAACCCTCCAGTCCTGGCAATGTCCTGGTAAACCTTTCCTACACCTTCTCAAGTTTAACAACATCCTTTCTGTAGAAGGGTGACCAGAATTGTACACAGTATTTCAAAAGTGGCCTCACCAATGTCCTGTACAGCCACAATATGATGCCTTCATTGGTCAGAACATTGACTATAGAAGTTGAGACAAGTGTGCCAAACACCATACTCCCCAGAGCCCTACCATTAACTGTACGAGTCCTGCCCAGGTGTGCCTTATCAAAAATACAACACCTCACATTTCTCTAAATTAAACTCCGTCTGCCACTCCTTGGCCATTCTGATCAAGGTCTCGTACTCTGAGATAATCATCTTTGCTACACCAGTTTTGGTGTCATCTGCAAACTAACTAACCATATCTCCTATATTCACATCCAAATTATTTATACAAATGGCAAAAAGCAGTGGACCCGGAACCAATCCTTGCAGCACACCGCTGGTCATGGGCCTGTATTCCAAAAAGCAACTCTATCGCCACCCTCTGTCTCCTACGTTCAAGCCAATTTTGTATCCAATTGGCTAGCTCCCCTGGATCCCATTTGATCTAACCTTACTAACCAGTCTGCCGTATGGAATCTTGTGTTAAACAAAAGTGGCCTTATCAATGTCCTGTACAGCCGAATGCTGAAGTCCATATAGACAATATCTACTGCTCTGCCTTCATCAATCTTCTTCATCACTTCTTCCAAAAAAAACTCAATCAAGTTAGTGGGACACAATTTCCCACACACAACCATGTTGACTATTTCTAATCAGTCCTTGCCTTTTCAAAATGCACCTAAATCCTGTCCCTCAGAATCCCCTCCAACAACTTTCCACTGGTGTCAAGCTCATGGGTGTACAGTCCCTGGCTTTTCCTTCCAGCATTTATTAAATAAGTGGCATCACATTAGCCGCCCTCCAGTCTTTTGGCACCTCACCCATGGCTGTAGATATAAATATCTCGCAAGGGGTGCAGCAATCTCTTCCTTAGCTTCTCAAAGTTCTGAGAAACACCTGATCAGGTCCTGGGGATTCATTTACCTTTGTATGTTTTCAGACTTCCAGCACCACCTCTTTTGTAATATGAACTCTTTTTGTGACATCACTATTTATTTCCTCAAGTACCCTAGCTTCCGTGCTGAAAACAGCTGGTCACAGCGGGTCAGATAGCATCCGTGGAGAGAAGCAAGCAAACATTTCAAGTCTAGATGACTCTTCTTCAGGGCTCAGCATTGGTTGTTTTCAGTACAAATCCCAGTATCTGCAGTAATTTGCGCCTACCCTAGCTTCCATGTCCTTCTCCACAGTAAATACCGATGTGAAATACTCATTTTAGTATCTAGCCCATCTCCTGCGGTTCCACACATAGACGGCCTTATTGATCTTTAAGGGGCCCTATTCGCTGCCTTGTTTCTCTTTTGCCCTTAATGTACCTACAGAATCTCTTTGGATTCTTCTTAACTCTATTTCTAAAGCAGTCTCATGTCCCCTTTTTGCCACCCTGATTTCCCTCTTATATATGCTCCTATTGCCCTTCTCCAGGGATTCACTTGATCTCAGCTGCCTAAAACTAATATATGCTGCCTCTTTTTCCTTGACCAGACCCTCAATTTCTCCAAGTCATCCAGCATTCATTATGTTATGGACCAGACCAAAACATGTCAAGGAGATAGCCTGGACC